TAACTCTTTGGTAGGTAAAACAGTGCTCATATATGTCTTTCATTGGCGTATTTAGCTGTTTGCCAGAAGTTGAGCATAAAATAAATAACAGAAAAGTATTTTTTTTGCTGAAGCAGTTGTAGGTCATCTAGACAGGCTGTTTGACATTTCTTGTGTGCTATCATACAGTCACTGTGCCTGATAATGGGAACACTGTGACCACAGCAATCTTATTATTACAGGTACTTATATAGCACTGGCAATTTACATAGCACTTTACAAACATATATTGTACATTATTTATTATTTATTGTTATTTTATTCATTTATTACAGGTACTTAAATAGTGCCATCAATTTTATGTAGCGCTTTCCATACATATATATTACATTCACATCGGTCCCTAACCCTCAAGGAGCGTACAATCTAAGGTTCCTAACTCACATTCATACATACACATACAATTTAGACAGGAGCCAGTTAAGCTACCAGCATGTCTTTGGAGTGTGTGGGAGGAAACCGGAGTACCCTGAGGAAACCCATGCAGGCACAGAAAGAACATGCAAACTCCAGGCAGGTGGTTGGGATTCGAACCAACGACCCTAGTACTGCCAGGCGGAAGTGCTAACCATTCACATTAGTCCCTGCTTTCTAAGGGACTTACTGTCTTAGGCAGGCCACACATAATACAATTTTCTTTCCTTTAACCATGGGTTGAAGGAAAGACTATTGCTCAATTCCCCCATCAACACAGTCAGCGTTGATGGGAGAATCTTTTCCGCTGCACTATTGTATTCTGATAGCGGGAAGTTTCCCAGCCATCAGAACACAATGATCACTGCTGAAGGTTATAGCTGCCGGCAGTGATCGAAAGAAGAAAAAAACAGACAAACTGGTTATACTGAAGTCGATCATTAGATTGACTTCAGTACAACTAGCCAGTCCATAGATGGATCGAAATTTGTCTGGTTCCTGCTGAACCCTTGGAATATTGATCTGTCTATGGCCGGCTTTAGGTCCCTAACTCACATTCAAACATACACACACAAGGGCCAATTTAGATAGGAACCAAATAACCTACAGTCAGGTCCATAAATATTGGGACATCGACACAATTCTAACATTTTTGGCTCTATACACCACCACAATGGATTTGAAATAAAACGAACAAGATGTGCTTTAACTGCAGACTGTCAGCTTTAATTTCAGGGTATTTACCTCCAAATCAGGTGAATGGTGTAGGAATTACAACAGTCTGCATATGTGCCTCCCACTTGTTAAGGAACCAAAAGTAATGGGACAAAATAATAATCATAAATCAAACTTTCACTTTTTAATACTTGGTTGCAAATCCATTGCAGTCAATTACAGCTTGAAGTCTGGAATGCATAGACATCACCAGACGCTGGGTTTCATCCCTGGTGATGCTCTGCCAGGCCTCTACTGCAACTGTCTTCAGTTCCTGCTTGTTCTTGGGGCATTTTCCCTTCAGTTTTGTCTTCAGCAAGTGAAATGCATGCTCAATCGGATTCAGGTCAGGTGATTGACTTGGCCATTGCATAACATTCCACTTCTTTCCCTTAAAAAACTCTTTGGTTGCTTTTGCAGTATGCATTGGGTCATTGTCCATCTGCACTGTGAAGCGGCGTCCAATGAGTTCTGAAGCATTTGGCTGAATATGAGCAGATAATATTGCCCGAAACACATCAGAATTCATCCTGCTGCTTTTGTCAGCAGTCACATCATCAATAAATACAAGAGAACCAGCTCCATTGGCAGCCATACATGCCCACGCCATGACATTACCACCACCATGCTTCACTGATGAGGTGGTATGCTTAGGATCATGAGCAGTTCCTTTCCTTCTCCATACTCTTCTCTTCCCATCACTCTGGTACAAGTTGATCTTGGTCTCATCTGTCCATAGGATGTTGTTCCAGAACTGTGAAGGCTTTTTAGATGTCATTTGGCAAACTCTAATCTGGCCTTCCTGTTTTTGAGGCTCACCAATGATTTACATCTTGTGGTGAACCCTCTGTATTCACTCTGGTGAAGTCTTCTCTTGATTGTTGACTTTGACACACATACACCTACCTCCTGGAGAGTGTTCTTGATCTGGCCAACTGTTGTGAAGGGTGTTTTCTTCACCAGGAAAAGAATTCTTCAGTCATCCACCACAGTTGTTTTCCGTGGTCTCCGATTCTTTTGGTGTTTCTGAGCTCACCGGTGTGCTCCTTCTTTTTAAGAATGTTCCAAACAGTTGTTTTGGCCACGCCTAATGTTTTTGCTATCTCTCTGATGGGTTTGTTTTGTTTTTTCAGCCTAATGATGGCTTGCTTCACTGATAGTGACAGCTCTTTGGATCTCATCTTGAGAATTGACAGCAACAGATTCCAAATGCAAATAGCACACTTGAAATGAACTCTGGACCTTTTATCTGCTCATTGTAATTGGGATAATGAGGGAATAACACACACCTGGCCATGGAACAGCTGAGAAGCCAATTGTCCCATTACTTTTGGCCCCCTAACAAGTGGGAGGCACATATGCAAACTGTTGTAATTCCTACACCGTTCACCTGATTTGGATGTAAATACCGTCAAATTAAAGCCAACAGTCTGCAGTTAAAGCACATCTTGTTCGTTTCATTTCAAATCCATTGTGGTGGTGTATAGAGCCAAAAATGTTAGAATTGTGTCAATGTCCCAATATTTAAGGACCTGACTGTATTAGTATGTCTCTGGAGCAGGGGCGGACTGACCATTTGGGCTCTCGGGGACTGCCTGAGGGCTCAGGGTCAGTAGGGGGCCCCATGAGATGTCCCTGCTACCTTTCATAGGCTTTTTTGAGTGTGGGTGAGGACACAGGGGCCCCATGATTCCCTACTGCCCGGGGGCCCCATAAGTTGTCAGTCCGCCCCTGCTCTGGAGTGTGGAAGGAAATCGAGGTACCCAGAAGAAACCCCCGCAGGCACAGAGAGAACAGGCAGGTGGTGTCGTGGTTGGGATTTGAACTGACAACCCTAGTGCAGTGGAAATGTTAAGCTAAATTTGCGCTCAGAATTAAATATGCATGCATGCAGGTATAGAAAAATTGCAAAAAAAAAACCACACAAACACAGTTAAAAAATCTATGTATTATTAGGTTTCCGTCAGATTGGCCTGCAGGCTATCCCAATCTTTACTGATGCTGTACATGTGGGATTCAAGGGCTGTTCGCCGGCAGCTGCATTCAGGGTGAATGTAACTGTGGAATGCAGGCAGAATCCTGTTAAAAGTCACTTGAGTGAATATCTATCATATACAGTATTTACTGGGCAAATTGCCTAGTGAATCATTATTAAATATTCAGAAAGGTCTGTGGGGGTAGTACACTTTTACGAGCTGATAGTATGTGCATTTGGATTGAATCAATTACAGAATCCATTTATGATTTCAACTCCCACTCTTAATATCTCTAGTGCTTGAATAATAGGATGCAATTAAGGTTTTTTGTTTTTTTTTTAATCCAATGTTACAATGCTATTCTTTGACGTCTAATGTTACATACTTCATGGTATCGCCAGGTATTTTTATAAAAATTCTATTCGCTGTGTTCTTGAACTATGGTTCCACGCTAGGTTTTCTAGTAATTAATGGTCAGTGTAATATAGGCTATAAATAGCATCCAGTTTTTATATACAATGCACTACTCAAAAAAGGACATGTGGTCAGAAATGTGTTGCAGCATAGTACTCTTTTTATTTTCAGTTTCCAAAAGAGCTGGAATTTTTGATGTACCTAATTCTGGAGAGCTGGCATAGCAAGCTGAACTGCTGAACCAGGAAGATAAATTGCTTAATCAGGAGCAACGCCTGTCACCTGTCTGGTTCTGCGGTATGGAAAATGTGTGTAAATCACAAGAATGGCTGAACAAAATTAGATATTCTTTAGGAGGTAAAATATTAGGACCCATCGAGATTGATGTGCTGCAGTAATTTGCAGTAAAAGGCTCTGGTTAATGCACATTACTACAATGTACATACCATGGTGTGTTGCGGTGCTATTCATTTTGAATGGCTTCTTACCACAGTACACTCTGCACTGCATTGCATCACAACGCATGCTGTACATACAGTTGTGGTTGTGTCTGATTTTTACTGATTTGTGATGTGTGGATTGCCCATTCCAATAAATGCACTGCCTTAAAGGATAAGTTCACTTTTGATAAAAATAATAATAAATGTACATCTTTTTGCAGGTAAAAAAAGTGCATGTACTATTTTTTAGACTGCAGCCTGTAAGGCATTGCATCTGTGATCAGCAGATTTGCAGATTGTGAGTGCAATGCCAGGATCCTGCAGACTCTCAGTCCACTGTCTGCCTGCCATACAGACAGGCAGTTACTGAATGGCAGCAAGAATCAATGAACTATGAGAACGTTTAAGTCGTTCATTTATTCACAGACATGGCCATGTGGGCTGAGCCCCGCATAACCGCACTGTTTATAAATTCTGACAGCGGGTGCAGGGAGAGGATCCTTTGCCCGCTGTCACAGTGAGGGGGGGAGAGGAGACAGGAGCAATACATGTTACATGTTCCACCCACCCTAAAAAGGGTGGACCATGTAAGATGTTCCAAAGGTGAATGTATCCTTTAACGCAACACACATTACCACACTACACATAATAGGCGCTAAACATAGATGCTGTAATAAACATACAAATGGGTCATTAAGAATACTGCTACCTATTGAGGATAACTGGAGAAATTTCAGCAAAACTGATTTTGCCTTCAGTAAAATTTCAAGAAAATTCACCTCTAATTGATTCCATATAACATTTGACTGTAAGGCTCCATGCACACTAGCATTTGTTTAACCACTTGCCTACCGGGCACTTTCACCTCCTTCCTGCTCAGGACAATTTTCAGCTTTCAGTGCTGTCACACTTTGAATGACAATTTTGCGGTCATGCAACACTGTACCCATATGACATTTTTATATTTTTTTTAGAGAGAGATAGAGCTCTCTTTTGGTGGTATTTAATCACCTCTGGGTTTTTTATTTTTTTGCTAAACAAACCAAAAACAACTGAAAAAGTTTTTCTTCTTAGTTTCTGTTATAACATTTTGTAAATGAGTAATTTTTCTCCTTTACGGATGTGCACTAATGAGGCTGCAGTGATGGGCACTGATAGGCCGCACTGATGGGCACTGATGAGGAGGTACTGGTAGGTGGCACTGATGGGCATTGACAGGCATCACTGGTGGGCATTCACAGACATCACTGATGGGCACTGAAAGGCAGTACAGTATCATATATGGCACTGATAGGTGGCACTGGTAGGTAGCACTGATGGGCATTGACAGGCATCACTGGTAGGCATTCACAGACATCACTGATGGGCACTGAAAGGCGGTATTCATATATTGCACTGATAGGCAGCACTGACTGGCACTGATAGGTGGCATTGACTGGCAGCACTCATAGGTGGCACTGATAGTTGGCACTGAAAGGCAGCTCAGATGGGCACTGATATGTGGCATTGATGTGCACTGGTAGGCACTGATATGTGGCATTGCTGTGCACTGATGGGCACTGACAGGTGGTATTGATGGGCAATGACAGGTGGCATTAATGGACACTGACAGTTGGCACCGATGGGGCTACACTGATCATCAATGCCCTGATGATCAGTGTACATATCCCCTCTGAGGAATGCTGATTACTGGCTCTCCTCTCCTCACGAGCTGTCAGTGTGACAGCTTGTGAGGAGAGAAAGTCCGATAACCAGCATTTACATGCAATCAGCTGTGATTGGACACAGCTGACCACATAACAGAGCCAAAGTCATCGGCTCTTTCCACAGATCGGTGGGCGCGCGCACGCGCAGTTAGAGTGGGAGGACGTCATATGACATCCTCCCAGAACGAGAGAACCTCCTTGCGCCCGTCATTTCCTTATATGGCAGGTGGGAGGCGGTTAAGCTCCTAGAAGCTATTATTAGCATTTTTTATCCAGCATTTTTTGAGCTAAAAAAATGTTAGTGTGCATGGAGTCGTCAAGCAAGATGTATCATTTCTAGGGGGATGAGTGAAACAGAGATTTCTCCTTAGACTTCATGTACACGAACTGCCCCTAAACTTGAGTTTAGGAGCTTTTGGCATTTATTTTGCCAAAGCTCCTAAACTCAACTCCATAAAAGCCTATGTGTCCATGTACACATAGGCTTTTAGCAGAGTTTAGGAGCTGCCATGTTTAGGAGGTTCTCCTGAATGCAGGAGAATCGCATTCAGGATAGGAACATTTTGACCGCCAACAGTGGGAAAACGCAGCAAAAACGCAGCAAATCAAGGAAACCGCAACCGAGTTTTTGCCACAATTTATGTTTTTCTGTGACCGGCGGTCAGGGTAGGCTCATGTACATGAAGCCTTAAAGTAGAACTAAAGGAAAATTGTTCTTGGATTGGAATTCATTTCCCCTCTATTCCTGTTCTGGTGAAAACAAAAAATTGGGGATTTTCTTTTACTTTTACCCTCGGTGATAATGGTAAACAGGACAAATGTAAAAAGCAAATCTCCTTAATGGAGTCACAGACAGCAATAATAAACTGACAGAGGTTCTAATCCCTCTCCACTAAGAAAAAAAAATGTATTTGGTTATACTTTTAGAGAAATTTCAGAGAAATGCAAGGAAATGAATTGGAGGTGAAATCCAGCTGAATTATTAATGTGCATTCCTATGTAGCATTACTAAACAAACAATTTGAATGTCTCTTGATCAAAGTCTAAATGCTTTAGGGCCATTCTACTATGCATTAATAGTACCTGAATCATGACAACCCCTGAAGCAAAAGCTTTGATATTAATGCAATGTGTGTACTTTTTGTGAGTTATAACATTTGCAAAATTGATTTTCACATTAGGATTTATAAGCAAACATTTTTTACATTACTTGATTTGATATTTTGGAATAATGCACAATGCAATAATCCTTCCTGAATATGTGCTTCCCACTGAATAGAAGATGAAGTGAAGCAATACATCAGGGAAGAGAAAAGATAATGTGCAAAGTGAATTAACCCATGGCAACCATAAAAATGTGCCAGCGGACTCCAGTAAGCTGAATTCTGCTTGGTATGGCTTACCACCCTCTGCACAAACCTATTTGCTGTTTTTTTTTCACAGAGTATAAAGTAATTCTACAAGTACATTATGCTTTAATTTGTAATAATGTGTTTATTGCAGGCGCTTTTAAATGAAAGACGTGTATAAATGACAAACAGACATTCCCATTAAAAAGGCTGGAAAATTGAACATGGCTTGGTTACAAAGTCTAAAAGCATCTCATATTACAAAATTAATAATAAACAACATGTAAGGAGGAAGAAAAAGAGAAGGCAAACACAAGGACACAAACTTTAGCCAACAAACCAACTTGGAATGTTACACATTCTACTATTGACTTTTATAGGACAAAAAAAAAAGGTATAGCTAAATACCATTTTGTGGTTTTGGTTATTTATTAGTGATCATTAGTGATCAGTGCATTAAAGTGGTTCTAAAGGTTGAAAGTGTTTTTACCGTAATGCATTCTCTGCCTTACCCCCCGGTCACATCAAGCCTGACTTTAAAATTGTGCGACTTACAGTGAAGTTGCACGATTTCAGTCAGGTGAGATGCCGGTTTCAGGTGCGATTTGCAAGACATCTGACACAGATGTCTATGCAGTACGCACCAAAAGTAGTACATGTATGACTTTAGAAATCAGTGCGGCTCCGACCAAGTCGGAACCGCACCAATTTGACAATAGGGTATGGACAATAGGGTGCAACTTGGCATACGATTTGCAAGTCGCATGGCAAGCAAATCGTATGCCACGTCGCACACCGGTATGACCAGGGTGTTAAGGTAAAACCCTTCTGTGTGCAGCTCTCCCCTCCCAGCCCCCCTTTTACTTACCTGATACTGATCTCGATCCAGCACTGTGCATGAAAACAGAGGCTCTCTCCGCTCTCTCCTTTCTCAGTGGCTCAGAGACAGTCTTTGAGCCAACAAGGAAGGAGAGAGCAGAGAGAGCCTCTCCTCTGAGGTTTATGTAGGTTACACTGCTCCACTCTGTATGCTGAGGGATATGTGCATTACAATGCTCCACTCTGTACGGCAAGGGTTATGTACGTTACAATGCTCCAATCTGTATGTTGAGGGTTATGCACGATATACCACTCTATTGTGTATATTATGGACTACACTCCTCTCCATTTGCTGTATATTACATATTCCACACAGCTGCACTCTATGCATTGAGTAGCATATTCTATACTTCAGAATGCTCCATTTACTTAGTGTATAGCTCTTCACTCTACTGTATGTACTGTTTGTTACATACTCCACAAACACTTCAATCTCCATACTGTGAATTAAACAGGCCATAATACTCTATACCCTAACCTGTACATTATACAGTATACTTACCCTGTGCCACTATACACACTCTGCATCTTACTCCACATTGCATTGCTACATACATTCAGCTGCACAGTATATACCCCGCCTGTCACTCCTACTCTATTTAAACATCAAAAGATTATTAATGTGCCAAAAAGGATAATCAATATTTAATACTACAACTAGGGGGCACCATCATCCATTATTTTTCTTTTCTCCCTCTTCTTTCCCTTATTATTCCCCCCCCCCCCCTTTTCCTTTCCCCCATTTCTTCCCTCCCCCCTTTCCTTTCCCTTTCCCTTTTCCCCCCCCCCCCTTTTTTCTTTCCCCCCCCCCCCCCACCCCTTTTCCTTTCCTTACCTATTGCTATAGTTATTCCTTGATTTTAATTTTTTCTTTACTCATTTTTTCTTAATCCCTCCTTCTCCTTGTGATCCCTTTATTACAATTTTCTTTTCTGATCTTCCAGCCCATGATTGGGGAGGCGGTGGGTATCCTTCTTTGCCCCCCATGCCCACCCTGGGGGAGGTTTTTGACATCCCTATCCACTACCTCCCTCTAAGCACTTGTCCCTAGCTCTCGTTGGCAAGCAATTCAATGACCACCACCAAGACTTAGAATTATTGTATTAAAAAATCTGCATAATTACTGTATATGCTGCACAAATTTTCTTTTTCTCTTCTATTGTTGACAGTCTTCAGCTAATTTGTTCCTCCTGAGAAAGCGACAAAGGTCGCTAAACATGTAGAGGGATGGCTGCATACTATATTCCTATCTATCACCATCTGGAATCTGTATTTTTGACCTTGGAGGTCAATGATCAGTTTGGAGAAACATGTGAAACCTAATATGAGCTGAAATTTGCTAACTGTCATTTGTTTTATACTTCTGTGTGTCACAAGATTTTAAAAATTGTAATCAAAATAGTTTACATTTTAATATATTGTATGAACTCTATGTTCTTTGCTTCTTTTTGGTTTCCTTCACTATTTATCCTCTTCATTCCCACAGTACACAAATATGCAGCCTCTCGGCGGCTGGGTCTTGATGCCGAGTGGCCGCATATTTGCGTACCATTTGTAAACAAATATGTCCTGAGATCGCGCACCCTGCGCGCTCCCAGCATGTGTCAGCGTCCCACGGAAATCTCTCCATGCAATCAAAACCTTTCCAATCATGTGACTGCCATGACAGCCAATCACGGCAGTCACATGACCCCAAACCCCGGCCAGGAGGCGCCGGCGTGAAGGGGTTAAACATCAGATGACATTTATTGTTACTGTCCCTCATGTACTCACACATGCGATTCTGAATTTTAATACAGAAGGTACAATGCTCCCAATGAAAACACACACAAAAATGCAAAATAAAGGAGATTGGAAATGCATAAAACATATACAGTATGAATCTTGAAATGTAATAGTAAGAACTAGATTTAAATGTTTTTAATAAAATATGGTATATAAACAAGAATTCTGTTTATTTCAAGCAAGTACAAAGGGTAGTACTAAATATTCAATGCAGGCTGTTTAAAGGGAATGTAAAGCAGTTTTGTATATCTTTTTTCTTTATTATGGTCAGGATTCATGAAAGAAACATTTACAAATATTTTTTCCCTAAGTGGGGTAAATATGAAACGTTACATATGAATTTTGTTATCTTCCATATAGCCAGTAGGTGAAGCTCCTTTTCATAACTTTACTACTTGTGGTACACAGCCTGTTGCTTCCCTCTGAAACAACTACAGGACCTCATCCCATGGGATGAATGGAGTCATGCACAACTGATCAATTTTAATTCTACTTTACAAAAACGAAGACTGTGGCAGCACCCAGATATTACAGTGTTCCCCTTTAAATTGTAACATTTCTAACAGTATCTGCTTGCAAGGTTTTTGGCTCATCTTCCCCCCTCCCTTATTTCCT